TGAGGTTACTACAGGAAGGAGCAGGAAACACTCTGGAACTAATAGGTATAGGCAAGGACTTCCTCAATAGAACCCCAGAAGCCCAGCAACTAAGAGAAAGGATGGACAAATGGGACTTCAGAAAATTAAAAAGCTTCTGCACAACAAAAGAAATGGTCTCTAAACTGAAGAGAACACCCACAGAGTGGGAGAAAATATTTGCCAGCTATACATCAGACAAAGGACTGATAACCAGAATATACAGGGAACTTAAGAAACTAAACTCTCCCAAAATCAATGCACCAATTAAGAAATGGGCTACTGAACTAAACAGAACTTTCTCAAAAGAAGAAATTCAAATGGCCAAAAAACACATGAAAAAATTCTCACCATCTCTAGTCATAAAGGAAATGCAAATCAAAACCAGACTAAGATTCCACCTCACCCCTGTTATAATAGCCATCATCAAAAACACCACCAACAACAGGTGTTGGCGAGGATGTGGGGAAAAAGGAACGCTGGTACACTGCTGGTGGGAGTGCAAGCTGGTACAACCACTCTGGAAAAAAATTTGGAGGCTTCTTAAAAATCTAAACATAGACCTTCCATATGATCCAGCAATCCCACTCCTGGGGATAAACCCAAAGGAATGCGCACAGGTTACTCCAGAGCCACCTACACACCCATGTTTATTGCAGTGCTATTCATAATACCCAAGTTATGGAAACAACCAAGATGCCCCACTATTGATGAATGGATTAAGAAAATGTGGAGCTTGTACACAATGGAATTTTACTCAGCCATGAAGAAGAATGAAATCTTATCATTTGCAGGTAAATGGATGGAGCTAGAGAACATCATTCTGAGCGAGGTTAGCCAGGCTCAGAAGACCAAAAGTCATATGTTCTCCCTCATATGCACACTTTAGATCAAGGGCAAATACAGCAATGTGGTTGGACTTGGATCACATGACAAGGGGAGAGCACATATGGGAGATACAGGAATAGACAGAAAACCCAAAACATGAAAGCGTTTGATGTCCCCACTCCAGAGGAGCTAATACAGAAACCTTACAGCGACAGAGGTCAACATGAGAAGGGGATCAGGAACCAGTGTAAAGATCATATAGAGATGAATCAACATGGGTCGTAACACATGTGTACACAAAAGCAATGCTAGGAATATTTCTGTATAGCTATCCTTAACTCAACTAGCAAAAATGCTTTGTGTTCCTTATTATGCTTATGTCTTTTCTTCAATAAAATTAGAGATAAGGGCAAAACAGGATCTGCCTGGAAGTGAGGGGCGGGGAGAGGGTGGTGGAGGGGGGCTGGAGGGAGAAATGACCCAAACAATGTATGCACATGTGAATAAATGAATAATTTTTTAAGTATAAAAAAATAAAATAAAATAAACAGTCAAAGAGAACTGAGGCATGTTAGCTGCCCTATGAAGATTTTCTTAGACACTGTAAAGTCCAAACAGAAATAAATTGTCAAGGAAACTGGTTAAACTCATTTTTTAAAAATGTTGATCCAAGCATAATAGGTTAACAATAAGAAAGGGTATTTGTTTTGTTTTTAAAAAGAGATTTGCTTTCAGTTAGTTACATACTGATCTTACAATATTGCTACTGCCCCCAGTAACATTTTTGGTGTAAATGCTGATAACACAGATTCCAACACAGCCCACAATCCACCTGCAGTGCTACTTTAGATAAGACTCAAATGTCAAACTTCTCATCTCACAAAATTAAGGAGGTTAAAATAAAATAACTCTTGAAAAGTGTCTTGAAACTATTTTAAAATTTAAAGTCTAATTTTTTTAAAAAACCTGGTTTAGAAGCACTTGAGAGTCTAATCTTCATATGACTTTGTTAGATAAACAGGATTTCAGAGCATTCAATAAATGGTAGTGATGGATTCAGACACTATTATCCTAAGGTTCCCTAACCTTGTGCATCTCCAACTTCCTTAAAACAACACACACAACCCTTAGGCTTGTAGTGCATTGCACAAAGCTATAAGGAAATGACATGTCAATGACATGTCATGTCAATGACAGCTTATAGAAAGGTGTATCACAATGAGTAATGAAGCCAAGAAAGCTTTTCTGAACTATTTGTAAGAATAATAATCATAAGGATAATAATAACATGTTTGCTCAGCCATGATAAAGAGAAGATAGGATTTTCTTTCTGTTCTTGCTCTAGAAAATGTTACAAAACTGTCCTAGGAAGAAATGGTGAAGAAGTTATAGCCAAAGTATCAGGGGGAAATACTCTAACAAAAAGTCAGGTATTTGCTTTTAATCAGATTTTCTTTTTGGCAGCACTGGGGTTTGATCTCAGGGCCTTACACTTTCTAGGCAAGCACTGTTACTGCTTGAGCTGCTTAGCCAGCCTTGATCAGATTTTTAAGATCAGTATTTTGCTGTGATTTCTTGAAATGAACGATTTAGTATCTAATTTTGTTTTTCAGACAGTATTCTTTGCCTTAGCAAAAAGTATATAAATTATAAGCTTTAGCCCTTCAAAGTTGAATTCTTCCATGACTGTAGATTCTCAAGTAGGAGAGAATGTGATTAAAGTAATGACTTTGGGAGGCAAGGAACGGCTTCATATTTAAAACCTTCCAAGTTTCTATTTCATAGTGATTATTCCCTTTATACTCATGAGAATATAAATTTACTTCAAATTAAAAAATATGAGGTAATTTTTATACAAGAACTGCCATAAAATAAGAGAGTCTGTCACACAGTAATTATAATAAAATAGTCACTAAATATTAATTAGAAAAATGTGTATAATACATGCTGTGGCAGATTCTCGCTCCTCACTTTCTATAAATAATAATGAGAACATATACTTTCTTTGAGCTAACATGACCGTATCATGAATTCTTAAGTGGAAGACAATAGAACATACAAATTATCACAGTGAAAATCAAAAGTTTGTAAGTATAGCACCAAGTCAATGATAATTAACAAGATATGTTGAACTAAACAAAACTATTGTGCTATTAAGTTCCCATAATAAAAAAGAAAAACAAGAAGGAAGAAAGGAGAGAGGGAGGGAGGGTAAGAGAGAGAAAAATCATTAGCTCTTGAAGGACTAGTTATAAGAGAGTAAAGAAGATGTAAAAAAATATTTTTAACGCAATATTCTGGATTTTTAGAGCCAGGTAATTTAATTTTGTTTTTTTAAGGGTTTCACTATGTAGACTAAGTTGAGTTGGAGCTCACTAAGTAGCCCAGGCTGACTTCAAACTCATGATCCTCCTGACTCAGCCTCCTGAGTGCTGGGATTATAGTTGTGTACCTGCACAGCCAAAGAGACCTAGGTAATTTTTTTAAGAATTAAAACTTTGGACTCTCAAAGAATATGCAATCTAGGTAGGGGAGAAAAGTCAAAAGTCATAAATTTTCATAATCACAAGGTGGAAAGAAGGCCAAGGTAGAGATAAAGTTATTAATGTGAAGCTATTGTGATTCATTAAATCTGAAGAATTGGTAGGGTTCAGCAGAAGCCACTTGTAGGAAAATGCAATTTTTGTGGAATTACTAAAAGAAAAGTACCCAACCAAATGGAGTTTTTAATAACATCTGACCAGTAAATCCTATCACGACTTCTGCTAACTTTTCACAAAAATACTTAAGAAAATATTTGAGAAAACAAAAAACAGCAAAATTGTATCACAATTAGAGGACTAAATCAATTTCTGTAAGGTTAATAAACCATGCAGTTAAAAGTAAAAATGGAGAGCATTTGAATAAC